CGCCGTTGCGCTTCTCCCCCTTCTTGAACATTCGACAGCTGACAGTGCATGCGCCGTCGCGCTGTATATATACTCAAGGTCGGCGCTCGCTCACTCAGTTGCCGCTCGTCGGTTGGTTTGTACGGCGCGTCGACGTTCAAGGTCGCGGTGAAATGAATTCCAACGAATCCACAATGATCGACGTCCCTTCGACCAGCGCCGCCCTTTCGCATACGTGTGTACGTGTTCACTCATTTAACACCCCCTCCTACAACCACGTTAACCAATTTAGCCATCGACCCAAGTAAGTCGCAATTTAACACCCCATTTCACAACCACGTTAACCAATTTAGCCATCGACCCAAGTAGGTCGCACTTTAACACCCCGTTAACCAATTATATGCTCCGCATCCTCCTCAGTGTTCCCCCGAGGGAAGCTGCGGGCAATTTTTTTCCCTCTTATATTTACTGCACTGGCCACAGCGTTCGCAACAGATATTACAACTCCTAGGACGAATCGGAGGTGGAATCAAATCAGGTGTAGTCATTTTACCCTGAACTGGGTCGTGTGAACGCTGCGGAGAGAAACTGAACGCACAATTTATTGGAACATTAGTAACAATTGGCGTTCATCTCGCTCAGTAGAGTCATAACAACACCGTCTTAATGTTAAGTGCTGAGCCCCTTAGTCGGCCAGGCTGTTGCGTGCTGTCGTCGTCATTTGGTGTAACACTCTTGCGTGTATAGCACATTATTCTTGTTCTTGTTGACCTTAACTTGTGCCTCACACCCACTGATATTCTTTCTAGGGGACTATCGACTGATTAATTTGGTCTATCTGTACATTTGTCTGTTTGTCCACCTTTATCAATACTTCAAACGGCACCTAAGGGTCAACCCCATCCGCAGTGCCCACCAATATTGCTCAAAGTTTAGCGTTCATAGTTGATTGATTGATTGATTGATTGATTAAAACATTATTTTTGTCCTGAGAACACGCAGAGGAGACCCCGCGCCATCACACTAATCCCACGTAGGGACCATCAAGCCGAGCTTGTCGGCCCGTTCATGGGCACTCTGGACGACCAGGGTTTGATCCTTAAATTCGGGGCTGCGCCAAAGCGCAGCCCACCTGCCCTCACCGAGGGCGGGGCCAATGTTGTGTGATTGTCAATTAAAAAGCAATTATTACGCATATCTGAGGCGCCATAAAACCACGTCGATGTTTGGTATGTCTGCCTTTATAATAGAAAAGGCATACACAAGTAACTCTAAGGACTGTAGCATTTATCGCGCTGCGCTGACAGTGCAACGCGATACTCAAAAAGGTAAGTGTTTGTTGCCAACGTTTTGCTTCGACCATAGAATTTCCCAGAATACTTATTAGAGGGAACTCTGGTGCTAGTGTCTATCGGAGTTGCAACACACGGCGCTTCAGCGAGCATGGGAATGATGGGTAGCACACATTTGTCTAATTTTCGTACTTCTGGCCTGCTTCTGACTCCGTGTGTGTTCTAGTGGCTTGGAGCTGTGTTTTCACGAAAACATAAATTAGCAAATGTTCACCGTTTGCGCTTCACAACCTTATTCCTTTACTATTTGTTTACTATTTTGAATAAAGTCCCTAAGTTCAAAAGAGTTCGTTTTCTCTTTCAAAACAAAACCGTAACCAGTAATAAACGAAGCCGCAAGTACGATTCGCCACCCGCAAGTACAAAAGCTAGGCAAATGTGCGTACTACCCATCATTCCCATGGTCGCTGAACGATCGCAGTGCCAGAGTGCCCTCTAGTTATTTTGAAGAAACTTTATGGCTTCGACGACACGGGGGTGGCAGCTGCCCGACGCTTAGCGTTCTACACCTTATCACCTCCGAGACTGTCGCACATCTTGCTCTGCGGGTACGCACGCTTTCGTTTTCGAAGATAACTGCCAGATGGCACTCGTGTTTAAGGTGCCTTGATGCACTCGTTCGTCTCCGCAACATGCTCGAGGCACTCTAAAGCAGTGCCTCCAGAATACCATTCACCTATTTTTTGCGCAGAACATCAACTAAACGTTTTGTTCACTCTCTCCAGACGCAAAACTATCGTCTTTCGACGACATTTGCAGTGGAACATGCAGATCGGGCCAATTTTTTTCTTCGTCTGTCTTTATGATAATAAGAGACCGCGTGATAACGCCGAGAAGTCGTCTCTTTACTGCTTTTTGAGTACGTTTATGATAATAAAGCAGCTAGGCCTAAAGCCAAGAAGAATTCTTCTTCATCCTGTTTTTCGAACGTGTTGATGATGATAACTTATCATTATGAGCGACTAACAACGGCTAGTGCACTTGTACCACGAAAACGAAATCACGTACCAAAATAGCAAGAAGAATAGGAAGCAAAGGCGATCATCACCATCATCATTTCTTGATCACCGCGCCGCGCCTCTCGTGCAGCTGATGCTAGCTCGAGCTGTGCGAGAATTAGAAGGAGCTGACACGCCTGGCGTGGCGGACGCTGGTAGCCGACGTGGCTCCGCTTCAGGCCTGGAATAAAGTGGCGAGATCGGCACGGCCCCATCAGCCGCCTTCGACGTCATCTCACATCTCTCTTCTCTCGCCGCTACACTGGTGACCCGGAGAACACGCCCTTCGCCGAGCGGCCCGCTGCCATGTTCCCGCAACTCTGCCCGCCAGTGCCGCCGTTCTAATTGACCTACCCCAAGGTATGGTTTATGCAGCTCGACGCCGTTCTTGCGGTGAATGGCATCACGGACCAGCTGCTGATGCACACCATTCTTCTCGATGCCCTTCCCGTAGAATTGCGCCATCTCGCTGCCACTTCAAGCTCCAGCCCGCAGCCTTACGATGCCCTCTGCACTGCGGTGCTCGCCCGCACCGGCAACACATACCGTCCGCTTCCGTTTACCCGCACCAGGCAGGTTTCCCAGGCGTCGCAGAGCAAGGTACGAACCGGTCCGCAGCCCTCCATTGACCGCTACCTCGGTACCCCGGCTTCGACTACTTCTACACCTGATCCGGTCGCAGAAACACGCACCTGATCACGACCGCGAGGTAGAAGACTCCCCCACTGCGACTGACCTTCCCTCCGAGAGGTACATTCCCTCAGAGCCCCCGTGCGGAGCTTCATCACACGTACCTGCCACCTGCACGTTTTCCACGAAAGCGACGGCACGTGACACCGTGGCCCCACCAGACTCCATGACGACCTCGGCTGGGCCAGCTGACCTTCCTGCAGACTCCCCGCCTGTCCCGGCGCCTGTGGAGGCCCGTGGCACCACTCGCACTGTGGACCCAGAGCCCGCTGCGACTGTAACTGACGCGCTTGAGGACGACGTGCCCGGTCCGCTTCGGACGGGACTCACCGGGCATGCAGCGCCTGCGGTGGGGCAGTCTGGGGGGTGTTTGCTGGAGGCGGCCATCAATTGTGCAGACCTGCACGCCGGCCCTCGTGCGCGGACTTCTGGAGGTCATTGCACGAGCACAGGTGTCCCGTCCAGTGCTCCGGGCGAGCCCACGCTGGCTGGGTTCCACCACCGCCATTCCCCGGAGCCCTTGCCTCCGGACGGCAACGGCCAGACGTGTGTCCACAACGCCAGCTCGTGTGTCACAACCGCGACGGCGCTCATGCCTCATGCGTGTCTGCCTCCCGTTGCCCTACGTCGGCGACGACGGCGTGTTTGGCGTCACACATTGCGGCAACTTTTGGGCCGCCCTGCTGCACGGCCACGGGTTGCGGTCACGGCCCTGAAGACGGCGCAGGCGCCTACTCGGCCTGTCCGACGCGGTGTCCCACCACTGGTCATGTGCCCGAATGCCCACCGCGCACTTGGTGGTATTGTTGGGACACGTTCCTGCGGGCGTCGGCACGTCTGTCTAGGCCGGCACGTCAGACGCCACTCGACTTTGAGGTCTGTGTTGCGTCGACCCCAACGTCAGGGCCCGCACTGCCAGCCCTCTGCCGACGTTGGCAGCATGACCTCGCGACACACGGTCCACTCTCGGCCTGTCTGGCCAGGTCACCGTGAGACCCGCTTGTCGGCTACCACAGCGACCCGGCACTTCCTCCTTCGTCCGCTGCGCTATTCCCAGTGTCGCCCGCCAGAGACCCGCTGCTTACCGATGGCCCATCAACGTTGACAACCTGGCCTTTCCAAATGAACACTTTATGGATTGTCGTTCATGTATATAGCTTTTGTCACTATCTTTCTTTTTTTTCATATGCCTTCAAATCGCGCAAAGCGCTAGGGGGGGGAGCCCTGTGGTGCCATCATCACCATCATCATTTCTTGATCACCGCGCCACGCCTCTCGTGCAGCTGATGCTAGCTCGAGCTGCGCGAGAATTAGAACGAGCTGACACGCCTGGCATGGCGGACGCTGGTAGCCGACGTGGCTCCGCTTCAGGCCTGGAATAAAGTGGCGAGATCGGCACGGCCCCATCGGCCGCCTTCGACGTCATCTCACGTCTCTCTTCTCTCGCCGCTACATAGAAAGAGAGAGAAAAGGGAAAGCATGATGAAAAATAGAAAGCGCAAGAAAGAGAAAAATAGATAAATACGCAGGAAGAAACGCGCAGAAACAAACAGGAAGAAAGTAGAAAAATATTGAAAAAAGGGGGGGAAAGGAGAGGTAATTAAAGTGAAACCAATGAGAAACAAAAAGACTCGCCGGCTTCTTCAAAACGGACTTCATTTTATTTTTTTATCTCGCCAACGCGCTACAGGCACGCAAGTGCTGTCGCACGCAATTCCCTTGATTAAGCCCATAAGGTGGGTGTGTTGTCATACGGCGTGTTTGCTTAGGATACTCCGGCATGTCGCTTGAGGTATTTAAAGAGTTCGCCTTAGTGGGCGAACGCATTTGGATAGTGCGTTGATCAATATATCACATGCTGTATTGCATGATTAACTTCGCTTTAAGCGTCGTATATTTATGAACTCTGTTTCAGAATGGCACGTTTTAGTAGAACGAAGTGCCCATGTTCTCATGCGTACAAACAGCTCGCAACTATGGCTTGCAAGTGCAGAATATAACAATCATGTTTATTCTTTTTTTTTCAAACATTAAAAAGACATTTCTAACCATGCCCAATGTTACCATCTGTTACGACTGCATCCTAGAACGCCACAGGTACCACCCCAGTGTAGGCAGGCTCCGTGTACGGTAACCATGAGTACCGCCCACCCGTGTACCAAGGGTACATCTGCTTGAGGCACTTATTCCATGAAACACACTTTCCTCGATAGTCCCTGTAGAAACCTGTTTCACAGTAGCAGCCTTGTTTGCAGTCGTAGTGGCAAATCGGACCGATCGTAGGCTTCCAACATGTTGCCTCTTCGCAGCCTGTGCCGACGCACTGCTTGTAGACTTCATGTTTGCGTCGGCAGGCTACGCGAAAGAAAGCAAGGTGAAGGGTCAGCACACTCATCAAGTCAACTGCCAAGCCTGACATCTAACCTAATATTTGTACTCCAAGATTAAATCCATGTGATCTTAACAGCGTTTGCCTTGTGAATACCATGTAAGCTAGTGAACCATTGGTAAATAAAAAAAAACTATTGATAGCGTAGTGGCATGGAACTTATGGGCTGCCTGCTATCGGCTTCTTAGGTTAGTTGTTCGACCCTTGTTAACCTGACACAACCGATCATGGCGATCGGTCATAATACGCGTGAAGCCTTGTTATATAAAAGGATTTGTTCATAATTCAGATAAGTTTAGCAAAAGATAGTTTCAAAATAACTAACTAGTTTTATTCACCATGGTCTGCCTGAACCTGGGTTTACCAATTCTTTAACTTGCTTTTCTCACCAGGATAACTCCAAACGAACGGACTCGGAGCTTGTATTGACTTGATACGGCGGCTTCTAAATTGAGAACATGCACGTGTTTTAACATTTTGGATAGTTATCACGGAAGAAGCTTGAGTAGTGCAAAAAAATATTCATGCCAATATATCAGCGGCGTATTCCTAGCTGCTTACAATATCCCCACAATAGCACTTTTCCTATTGTCTGAAGTAATTGTTTTACTCATTACGCACGCAATACTTCACTATTTGCACTGTATTTGCTGTTCTGATTTATTGGTTGCGAAAATCATCTAGGTTCTTTGCGAGCCACAACTACGCACAGAGGACTTTCTTTGCGAAATCGACAGCTCAAATATGGCAGAATGAAATACTCCGAACGTTTGCCTGGTATATTTAACGAGAAACATATTGGTTCTTGAAGAAGCACTTCCAATAGACAAAAAGTTCAGCTATCATGGCACCAGATATGCTCTTTTATACCCTATACGTCTACAATTTGCGGTTTTCTGAATGATAATACGCTCGGTAAAATTATATTCAGTACTTCGGCAGCCAGTAAAATCTCTTTTCTATCAATGGGTGTTTGCTAAAGGTTCTGTACTTGTCTAGCTTCTTAGCATACAAAGTATTAATCCTTGAAGAGAACTGGTTGTTAAAAATGTACGCCTGTTATATACTTTATAGTCTATCAGAACCACTTGCTAACGCCGTTTATGTTCTGTAGTTGAGACCAATATACATATAACTCACTGAGCTGTCGAGACAGCGATCCTAGTAACTGGACCTAGCAACTGCAGTTATTCATGATACAGTGCTGGGATCCATAACGACTAAAACAATGTCTGATGTACAATTCCAAACTAGTGACCTTTACCATTTATATTATCGCTAGCCATTAATGTGGTCTTAATCGGATGCTCCTCGTCGACAAATCCTTGAAGCTTCATCACCTGAAACTGTGCATTTTGGCTATACTCCTATGAAACGCGAATAAAAAGGATACATGCACTTAAGAGTATGAAACCATTGAACAGATATACCAAATGAAATGCATACTTTCTTAATCTATATGCAATGCAATAAATATTTCAAAGAAACTTTAAAATTTGATTGACCATCATATACCTCATTCACGGTTATGAGAAAGGCTCACTATCATGCACGTTAATCAATCGCTTTATTGTACAGTTGATAATTGTGAAGAACACATTACGTACGCTGTTTTGGTCGCGGCCACCAATCTTTTCCAGGGATTTCAAGACCATTACTACCTTGAAAATCACTTGAAACACTTTGAGCTCCTTCGGTGAAGGAAGCGAAAGTGCACGAGATTAATATCAACAAAGAGCCTAAAGCGAACTTAGCCATATTCAGCCGCTATGTATGAGCACTTTGCTCAAACTGCTTCTTTAAGCTGAACATATAGCCTACTCCGTTATGTACGATGGCAGTGCCCTTTGCAGGTAATGTCCTATTTCAAGGCCTACCTGTCATATTAAACATAGCTTGCTGTAGCTCGTCTCTCTAAATATTTTTTGCTTTTCATGCAGATAGCAACGTCAATCTTACAGTTATACCAAACCTATGCTGAACAGTGCAGTGAAGGCTACCGAACAATGAAGTGAAAAGAGCCCAGTAGGGTGAACTTTGTTTTGCAGTCGCTAAGTGGATTAACAATAGCCACTGTAGGGCCGGTTCGAGGACAAGACGTAACTGAAGGCTGTCGGTCTATGCTATCAGTCTTTCAAGTCACTCTAAACCAAAAGCATTTTCTTCCTTCAAGTTAGGTTGTCCTGTCACAACGCTTTTTTTTATTGAGGCATAATTTTCATTCTTTGAATACAATGCGTGGGTGTATCCATGGGGTGAAGAAGTATTGAAGGTTCGCTGCTTGCAGGTTTCTTTTTTGTGATTTCATTGCTTCTATTCACTGATATGTCACGGAATATGTCCCTGATAAGCAATCTTTAAAAGCCACCAAGGTGTTAGATAGCTGAACATGAAGATAACTTTTATTGCGCGTGTGAGTAACAATAATACACGAGGAAGACACGAAAAGAGAGAAACTGGCAAAACCACGTTCCCTTTACAAAACAATTATACTGCACGCACCGGCAAGCAAAGACAGATATACTCTGCAGAATACGTAATCGTTACTAACACCTTCAAAAAGAAGCTGGTAAGTTTGACAGTATGCTTAAAATTACAGTCAAAGCAAAACTATGAAGGTTCTTTAAACCGTCTTGAGTATTTCAGCAAATCTAAAAAACGTTAGATGCTAGCTTTCGTAACGAATTAAATTCTCTTACGAAGAAGAAAGAATGGCGCGGATTTTCAGGCATTCAGGTACCCCCTTCTCTTACGGAAGAACATGTAAACAGGTAAATACCTTCAGCCGAAACTGAATGGTAACTAAAAAAATTGCCGGCAGCTTCCCTCGGGGGAACACTGAGGAGGATGCGGAGCATATAATTGGTTAACGGGGTGTTAAAGTGCGACTTACTTGGATCGATGGCTAAATTGGTTAACGTGGTTGTGAAATGGGGTGTTAAATTGCGACTTACTTGGGTCGATGGCTAAATTGGTTAACGTGGTTGTAGGAGGGGGTGTTAAATGAGTGAACACGTACACACGTATGCGAAAGGACGGCGCTGGTCGAAGGGACGTCGATCATTGTGTTTGTGGATTCGTTGGAATTCATTTCACCACGACCTTGGACGTCGACGCGCCGTACAAACCAACCGACGAGCGGCAACTGAGCGAGCGAGCACCGACCTTGAGTATATATACAGCGCGACGGCGCATGCACTGTCAGCTGTTGAATGTTCTCGAAGGAGAAGCGCGCGCGCGGCACAGATGGCGACGGCGCGACGGCGCATGCGCTGTCAGCTGTCGAATGTTCTCGAAGGAGAAGCGCGCGCGGCACAGATGGTGGGCGACGGCGCATGCGCGCGCGTCAGCTGTCGAATGTTCGAGAAGCGGTGCGGACGGCGCGGACGGCACAGACGGCGCACTACAAGGCGGGAGTATAAGATGCTTCCGCATCTAATATACAGCTAATGATTTCATAGGAATATTGAGCAAATTTTCGTGGCGCTTGACTAAAGCCTGCCAATTGTAGCCTTTCAAAGCTCGCTTGTCTATGGCATTTGATTTATTTCACATGCTATATAAATCTGCACGATAGTGTTATCGAGTGTCGCAATATTGTTTCATGTGTTTATTGTTCCACTTCGAAGAAGGTGAGTGCTAGTTTGAATAGACGGCAGTTTTTTTTACAGGAGTGTCAGTCTATATGTTTTGAGATGTAAATTGAGTTTTTAACCCAAAGACAATTCTTGATTGGCATGACGATTTCTGTTTGTTAATAAGCAAGCAACAGCAACATTTTATGATCGATTATTTTTTACCTGCAGTGGAATCTCCTTGGTACGCATTTTGTGGAAACTTCAGAATAAACAAACTAAAAGATAATCACGTTACACAAAGAAGTAAAAACAGAAATAAACCGTTTTAAAGAGCAATGTCAAGGTAGTTCGTTTGCTTGCTTGCTTACTTGTGCTTATGCTTTTCGCTCATGCCCACTACGGGGTGTGGACCAATAAATGAGTGGTGAATATAATAAGAATCATAGAAGTTTAAAATTTATATGAACCGAAATATTTTTGTCATCAACACATTATAGCAAACGTGAAGAATAAAAAGGCTGGTCATAAATAACTTTAGTAAATTCATTTAAAACACAAATAATGGAAATGTCCCAAAGCACAATAATCAAATTACGAACCAGGTGACACGAAAGTTTTGCCTCTCAAAGAAATTCGCTGACGGCTATGCATACGTTTCTGTTTTTGCAGCCCAGCGAGTAAGCCTCCCAAAAAGGTATTTTCAGAATTTCAACCATCCTTAGCTTTCTTAATAAGATTTCGAAATGCCTATTTTCTCCTGGCTCGTCGGCAAGTAAATGAAAGGTGATAGGTGTTTCGAGGCTCTTGATTCTAAATAAAATATAATAAATAAGAGGTGGAATACAACATCAAAAGTTTGTGAGAACTATACCAATTGATAGGAGGGGCAGGAATTCTTATCGCAAGCGAAAGAAATATTACCATATTCTTCAACTGGTAATATCATCTTCATTGAATCCTGAAGTAAGAAATATTTATAAAATCTGGGATCAGTTACAAAAGCAGTATCAGCTGCAATGTACATTACACGACTATCCATGGACCACCATTCGAAAGCGTGAGCCATTTCATTTTTGATTGTGCCATGATGACCTGGCACCTCTACTAACAATACTCTGGTCGAGGTTTTGCAACAAAAACATTCAAATCGACGACTCGGAAAAAGCTGAAGCATTAGATCAGCATACGAAGAGCATGCAAATCAGTAACTATAACAACTACGCGAACTTTTACTAAAATACTTCGGACTGCTACAATAATCCACAAAAGCTCTGCTTCAAATATGGGAGTGTAATTCAGGAGCAACGCTGAGAATGAGTTCGATAAAGCCTCTGAAAATATGCCTAAACTTGCTCTTTCTTTACGCATGGATGCATCATGTGCGATTGCATTCACAATTCTCAGCTGAAATATACTCTTCTAAGAAACCTATCGCCAAAATGGAGATTGCTAGCGGCAACTTTTTTTAAATGCTTTGACCTAGTTTATGACAAACTAACCACGTAAAGTTTTGATATCCAGGCGAGATAACTTAGTGCCTAACATGTAAATATCGGGTAGTATCGTTGAAGACGCACAGAATAATGTAGATGCTTTCAATATTTGCTTGCAAACTGTTTTCACGCGCACGCAGCCTTCGTATTTACCGTCGTCTAACAGTGAAGGTCATATGCCAGAGTTAACTACATCAGAGCCGGGCATACCTAACCTGCTTCTTCATCTTGATGTCAGAAAATTGTGCGGCAAGCATGAAATTTCTACTGCATTTATCAAGTGCTATGCTACCCATTCAACCCCTTTTCTGCACAAGATATTTTCCTTACCGTTAGAAACAGCAGTGTTTTTGGTGATTGGTTGTGTGCGAATATATGTCCTATCCATAAAACCGAGAACAAACAACTGGTGAACGCCTGCAGACCAATATCACTGACAAGCACATATTGCAAATAATGAAGCATGTAATAAATAAAGTACTTATAATCTATCCAAAGGATGGCAATCTGCATTACCCAAACAACCCAGTTTTAGACGAAAGCTTTTGACCACTATGCAACTTTTAGAAATTACTCACACGTTTGCTACATCCATTTATTCTACAAAGCAGATAGATGCCACATTTAGTATTTGTTTTAAGGCATTCGACCACGTCTTGTACTCCTTTCTCACATGAAAGCTTGCATCTTTTGGTGTTAATGCGAAAATTGTCCAATGTATTCCTGCTTATCTATCCAATCGCACCCAGTATGATTCTTTTATTAATGGTGAGTCCAACTGGGTCGACGTGTTTTCAGGTATTGCGCAGAGGTTCGTAAAGGGCCTATGTTCTTTCTCATTTACATTCATTATATTCATTCTTGAATTATTCGCACAACTGGTGGAATTTCATTTAGAGGCATTGCAATAGGTTCTGTGGTATGTTTACGCAAATAAAGGCAGAAACTCTATACTGTGCATTTACTATACCACATTGTTACACTTGCTTAACAGCCTGCATCGATGTGTCACTTAGGTTACGGTCTAGATGTCATCATGCTTACTGATATAGCTTTTCTTTTTTTCCAATGAAAACATATGCATTCTTTGTTTATTGCTTTATGCCGTTACCGTTGCTGTGGTTGATTATTGGTGCACAATGTGAAAGTAAAGCATATCTTAGCAAACTTCAGCGACTTTCAGTGTCTATCTATCTATCTATCTATCTATCTATCTATCTATCTATCTATCTATCTATCTATCTATCTATCTATCTATCTAACTACCTAACCGCGTACGATTTTTAGCTCTACTGGCCGTTCCGATAATGGTATCAATACCACACTTCGTATGAAAACATAACTGTATCACAAGCACAAGTGAAGAGTCATAACATGAAAATCATCAAATGTATGTCATAAACGTCATGATTTACAGTTCATGGTGTTGCTGCTCTTGCGGTGGTTTCGTGGACATGACATGTTGCAAAACTGGTATGGCATGACATGACTGCATGGCAAACACAAGCGACAGACCCTAACTATAAAATCATTACATTCGTGTCATGTAGCTGTTGTAACTTCAGAACCAGGGCATGCTTTTCGAATCCTTTATTCAGGCATGACGAAGGGCAGCCTCAAAACAGCACAACGAACCCGTAACGTAGGGCACACGCCCCTATATACAAGTGGCTCCAGGTTACACATGCGCAGTGGCGATCATTCACTTATCACCGCAACTTGACAACTACGACAGGTGTAGCCTATCGCGATATGAACACAACACTCCC